GAAGAAAAATTAATTATTTTTAATAATATGTAGAAATCTCCACTTTTACCTGAAGACGGTCGCGAGACCAGAAACACGTGTCGTAGTAAAATTATGTAAAACAAAAATAATATTTTTCTAAATAAATCCACATTACAACCAAAAACGTTTGCGGCACCTCTCTTCTTTTTAATATACATACTTTTCTCTCGTTGGAACCACTACAACATATTTATATATATATATATATATATATATATATATATATATATATATATTATCTAAGAGAATCAAATTGTGGTGGTGGAAGGTTAAAATGCCGCTAAAATCAGAGGTTGCTAGCGATTTCAAAACAAAATCTCCTTCCAGTGAATTTAAATTAGTTTTTGAAATGCAGCAGTATATCTTGCTTATTGGAAATAATAAATTTTAATTTATTAGTTTGAAATAGAATGTGAAGTAAAAGTTTTAAGAATGATTTGTCATCTTTAAAAATTCATTTTTGAACTTTGGGTATCTCCTCCTCTGTGGAGGTACTGAATTTAATGGCTTAAATAAAATCACACATTGTTAAAATCAATTGGTTTCTCAAAAAGAAAAATAAGGTCGTTATATAAAGAACTTAATTGTGGATGCCTTTGTGATTCCCACATTGTTAAAATATTTACCTGTATATATATGATTCTCAAAATGTGTGTGTATTTTCTGTGTGTGTGTATTTAATCGGGAATTGTTTATGCGTTTCCACAGTTTTCATCCGATTTCGATGATTTTTTTTTTTTGTTTGATAGATAATTCTTCAGTGCCGGTTTTGAGCCCAAACTGGCTTGAAAACATTACAACCTTGAAGATGAAAAATAGAAAAAACAGATTTTTTTACACGTTGCGCACGAATCAAAGGCAAAATTTAATGTCTGTAAAAAACAACGTACAATCAATTTAGAGAGTTGAAATCTAACGCAAAAGATTATTAGAATTATGAAAGAAAAATTATATTATAAATAAAAATTATCGTATATTATTATTATGATGGTCCATAGAAGAAGTCCCCTCCTTGCAAGATTGAGAACACAAAAACGGCCCTTTTCAGCCCCCCCCACCTCATTGAAATTGTTAACCCCCCCATTTGGGGATGTACCTCTCTTGCACCCAATTGCTGTTACTAATATTGATTTTCAGGTGGACTGACTTTAAACTTAAACTGCTTCAACTGAACGGCAAAAATTCCCAGTAATGAAACCTCCGGTCGAAGACGGGTTATACTGCTAGCATTTTTTAAATTGTAAAGAGTCTTTAGGGATATATATATATATATATATATATATATATATATATATATATATATATATATATATATGTGTGTGTGTGTGTGTGTGTGTGTGTGTGTGTGTAATACACGAAGTCACGTAATCGTGATCGTAAGTTTGAGCGTGTATCTGAATGTATGTGTGTGTGTTCAGTAAATAAATAAAATATTATCATTCCGAATCCGAGTTCTGTCTTTGCAATCGTTGAAAATAAACATGGCCGTTTTTTTTTTTGTTTTTTGTCTTTTTTAACGACAATCATCTTATGTCTTCTGTTACGCATGCTGAAATTTAAGGCGTGCCTTTTCGATCACTTATATAGTATTATATATATATATATATATATATATATATATATATATATATATATATATATATATATATATATATATTTCTCTGGCTTGATATTTCGAAAGACATTTCTTCTATACGCACTTGTATTGAAATACCGACGGTCTATTCCGAACAACAAAGTCTCACTATATAGTCTTTAATGTTTATTATTTTTATCGTAAAGAGTCTGAAAAAAAAATCCGATTAGAATATATGTAAAAGAAAATAAGTACGCTCTCTCTAATGAAAAAAAAGAAGCAGCTTTCTTTTTCAAAGATACGCCGACACGTTCAAGAGAATGCTTTTAAAGGAGGTGTCGTCTATACGAGGAGCACAGAAATACCCCTCCTCTTCAAACGAGGACAGAAGACATTGGAAGACATTTTCTCAGAAGCAAGACTCAATCGGCAACGACACTTCAGATCTTGGACAGTACTCAACTTGAAACAAGCCTCTTCAATATTTTAAATTCAGAAGAGATTTTCTCGTCTCCAAACTGTTCAATTTATATTCGTTGCCTTTTTTTTTTTTTTTTATGGATTCCGGTTCTCGTTATTCAGATGTTCATTTGGATTTGACAAAATCATCTGACATCGCCTAAACTTACGACACAAAGCAGGGCTACAGCCATATCATATCGAAACACTGGTTCTCCTACTATCGCAGGATTTAAACCACGTTACGCCTGATCGGCGGTAAGACCTGGAAAATACAAAGTGTTATAAGCTTGATCTAGATGGTGGTGTAAGGAGGGGGAAAAGCTAGAGATTGTTAATCGGACAGCTGACTTGCAATTCTCTCTTGTACACTAATTACCTTATTCGGACTATTCTCTTCTTTGTCGCTATGTTTATCACAACGTTTCGGCCGTTCTACGCTCCGGCCTTCTTCAGTTGGTTGGAATGTCGAACCGAACCCTTTATTTCGCTCGCTGGGTTAGACTGTTCTATTTCCACGTGCCATGTTTAATGTATGTCAGTTATCTCCTGTTAATTCCCCTCTGAAAGTTCTCCACTGCCTTAACCAGGTATTGAACTCACACTCTTTAGGTCCTGTCACTGAATCTAACTAACGCCATTATCCACTGTGCCATATGTCCATTAGACATAGTACCTGGAACTAGAACATTCTACCCCGAGTGAGCGAAATAAAGGGTTCAGTTCGACATTCCAGCTACCTGAAGAAGGCCGGAGCGTAGAACGGCCGAAACGTTGTGATAAACATGGCGACAAAGTTGAGGACAATAGTCCGAATAATGTAAATAGTGTACATAATACCTCATCTCAGAAATATAGACAGATATTGAAGGATCGGATAAATATGGCAACAAAGATGAGGACAATATTTCAAATAATGTAAATAGTGTACATAATACCTCATCTCAGAAATATTGACAGATACTGAAGGATCGGATAAATATGGCAACAAAGATGAGGACAATAGTTCAAATAATGTAAATAGTGTACATAATACCTCATCTCAGAAATATAGACAGATACTGAAGGATCGGATAAATATGGCAACAAAGATGAGGACAATAGTTCAAATAATGTAAATAGTGTACATAACACCTCATCTCAGAAATATAGACAGATACTGAAGGATCGGATAAATATGGCAACAAAGATGAGGACAACAGTCCGAATAATGTAAATAGTGTACATAATACCTCATCTCAGAAATATAGACAGATACTGAAGGATCGGATAAATATGGCAACAAAGATGAGGACAATAGTCCGAATAATGTAAATAGTGTACATAATACCTCATTTCAGAAATATAGACAGATACTGAAGGATCGGATAAATATGGCAACAAAGATGAGGACAATAGTCGAATAATGTAAATAGTGTACATAATACCTCATCTCAGAAATATAGACAGATACTGAAGGATCGGATAAATATGGCGACAAAGATGAGGACAATAGTCCGAATAATGTTAATACATAATACCTCATTTCAGAAATATAGACAGATACTGAAGGATCGGATAAATATGGCAACAAAGATCAATAGTCGAATAAGAAATATAGACAGATATCTCAGAAATAAGGATCTGAAGGATCGGATAAATATGGCGACAAAGATGAGGACAATAGTTTAAATAATGTAAATAGTGTACATAATACCTCATCTCAGAATATAGACAGTGAATTCTCTCTTGTTTTTTCTTATGTTTACTTACGGCCAAATAACTTTAGGAAAGATATGAACCCACTTATTCTAACACTAGCTATGGGTTAATCTGTAAGACTTAGATCAGTAAAACAATTATTATATATAAGATGAAAAAATTAAATACATTTGCGTACAAAATCTCGTATATACTCGCGTAACGCGCGATCTCACCTATCGTGCGACTCCCAAATATTAATTTCTAAAAAATGGTTTTATCATGCATCTCGAAGGCGTGTGTTTAAAAGCAGTAATTCGAGATTTGCTAAGCCTGAAGCCCTCTGTGGCTGAACGGTCATAGCACATCAGGCTAAATGAAGTCTCCGTATAGGATACGTGTTTGATTCCTGTTGGAGGACACATGTTTTCTACGAAATTTCCCGAACATTCAGGACGGTAAATATAATTGATACTTTTTATTAAAAAAAACAGAGCTTTTTCTCAAATAAGTGTATCAATGAAAGACATATATATATATATATATATATATATATATATATATATATATATATATATATATATATATACCAGATGTACACCAGTGACGCGCGATCCCGCGTATTGTGCGACCCCAAATTTTCATTTATAAAAAAGGATTTTATCATGTATCTCGTGTATCATGCGAGTTCCTATTTTTTGCGAGACCAAATTGCAATATACGAACCCCCCTTTCTCTATCTCTTTATCCCATCTTCTAGTTAAATAAATTAAAAAAGTGAAAGAGAAGGATAAAAGTATCGTTAGTAACGCTATACCCGTTCCGTAAACGAGTACAGCCATAAACAACCGAACGAGAAACAGCTAAACATCTTATAAACGTATACAATAGAAAAGAGGCCTATTCGCTATGTTTGTATTTTTAATACGATGATAATATGTATATTTAGTAGTATTATAATAATATAATATGTAATATTATAATATAATAATATGTAGTATTATCATGGATTATTATTGGATACAGTTAAGTAAATCCTCAGTTTTATCAAATTATGTTTATTTTAAATACAGCTGTACTTTTTGATTAAGGTAAATAGATATATTTCTTGATCAACGGCGTAGTCAGGGCCAGTAGTAAGCGCTAATCTTATATCTCGTGTATAATACGACCCTCTTAAAATTAGCTTCAAAATGATGTCTTCAATAGTCGCATGATAAATGTGAACAGAATGAGATAGATAGATAGAAACAAAAGAAATGAATTAGATAGATAGATAGATAGATATGAACAGAATGAGATAGATAGATAGATAGATAGATAGATAGATAGATAGATATGAATAGAATGAGATAGATAAATATGAACAGAATGAGATAGATCGATATGAACAGAATGACATAGATAGATAGATATAAACAGAATGAGATAGATAGATAGATAGATAGATAATGAACAGACAGTGATAGATAGATAGATACGAAGAGATTGCTAAAGATAGAAACAAAAGAAATGAATTAGATAGATAGATAGATAGATAGATATGAACAGAATGAGATAGATAAATAGATAGATAGACAGGCAGATAGATAGATAGATAGATAGATAGATAGATAGATAGATAGATAGATATGAATAGAATGATAGATCTATATGAACAGAATGAGATAGATCGATATGAACAGAATGACATAGATAGATCGATATAAACAGAATGAGATAGATAGATAGCTAGCTAGCTAGCTAGCTAGATAGATAGATAGATAGATAGATATGAACAGAATGTGATAGATATAAAGACATCATTAGAATGGTACAGTTAAATAAAATATCGGTTTTATCAAAATCATGTTTATTTTAAATACAGCTGTACTTTTTGACTACAGTAAATGGATATATAATTTGGTCAACGGTGTAGTCTGGGCCAGCAGTATATACGCTAATTTTTTATCTAGTGTATGATACGACCCTCTTAAAATTAGCTTCAAAATGAGGTCTTCAAAACAGATACGCGAGTATATACAGTATTTAGATTTTGGCATTAAATAATGCAATTTTTTGATATTCCGATAAACAAAACACAACGAACTAACCAAGTACTTTTGAAGGGGCGTTTTGACATCTAACCGATCAGTACAGCCGATGGGAATTTTTTTTTTCTCAGGTAAAAACAGGCATTTTGTTTTGTATCTGTATCTTTCAATTTAATTCTTAAGTTTTTTTCTCTTGTTTTTTTCTTATTTAACTGCATTTTGATCCCTTCTTTCAACTATGGAATAACAGTATCACTCTTCAAAGTCTATGTCAAACAAACGGCTTTAATAGAAAAACGATACCTTTCAAAGAATCACCAATATAGGGTGTGGACTGTCTGGTCATCTGTATGTCTTCTCACTTTTAGTGTATACTAGCAGCATGGCCGGGCGTTGCCCGTGCTTGATTCAAAAATCGTACGACTCATACAGCAATCGCTATCACTTGACTTAAAATATTTTTGCCCTTCCTTGCCTTTAAAGGAGTGCCCTTCGCTGTGCTGATGTTGCTACATGCCTTCCTTCTTGCCTATCTCACCCTGCGATTTTTTTCTAAGCTCTATACTAAACATTAAATCTGTTACGAAAAAAGAACTAAACAAAATGAACACAAAACAATCAGCTTTAAAAAGGACTCGTAACTGGAAAAACAAATGAAAAAGAATGTTAACAACAAATATTTTTTCACACCCAACCCAGTTCTGCAGAATCAGAATCAACGTTGAGTTTAAGCAAGCGAATGAGCCAATTGGAGTAAAAAGTGCCATGCAGATTTAAATTTTTCCCACTTGTGACGAATGCAGCTATCGATTTTTTGGCATGCTAGTTAACATTCGTGTCAGTCAACTGTTGGCTCTCACGCTGGCCAATAGAATCTTCCTGCCTATTCGTGGCTCTCATTCTGGCCAGTAGAAAATGGCCGCAAAGTACATGAAAACTGCCGTAGAAGCACGAAAAAAATCGATTATTTCCACTATCGATGGGAGTTGGGAAATGCAAAGTCGGTCTTCGCCTTTTCCGCTAATTTGGAGCATGTGCATGTAAATGTTGGTGCAAATCCGTCGAAAATTGCGGCCGTGCCTTCGTTACACACACACACACATCCTGCCTTTTATAGATAGAGATAGGACTTATTCTTTACACTCTCGAATAACTATCAACAATCCAGCTATTTAATTATTTATTTATTTTCTAGGATTTGCTGTATCAAATATTCTTTTAGTGCGGTCTGGAATAGTCATGCCGGTGGCGATTTTTTTCTATCTGCAATGTTACTGGTCCTGACCTGGCATCCCCAGCTTCAGCCACTTTCCCCACCGACGTAATGTAGCCGTGGCATTTCTATCTATACTCCCATGGTAATCGTTCTGATGAACTTTGCTCTAGCCAGACTTTATGAATTCAAGCGCACGACTAGATTGGCGGAAAGGTCTCATTATTTTATAGACCGAGTGGCAAGACGTAACCTGTTCTATACTAACACTTTCTTCTCTCGCACTTTCATGCTTGTGGAACTCTACTTCCGGCTTCTTGTTTCCAGAAAATATTTGAACATGTAAATTCAATATCATTCCTTATCTACTGTCTTCTTGATTTCCCTTCTTTTGTGGACTTACGGCCATCATCTCCTGGAGACAACACCCAACTAAAGCACAGCTCAATGGAGCCCTCACTGATATTTACACGAAAGCAAGACACTGCTGGCCAGCAAATCATGAACTCCTGAGTGATCTCATATTTTGGACACCTAAGCGTGGAGCAAGATGGGTTGGTCGCCCAGCAACCACCCAGATTGACCAGATATGACACAAAACGCCTCCCTTGATGCAGGATTCCGATATTTGGCGTCGCAAACATATCCGAGCTAACTCGACCGAATAAAAACAAAATAAACGGCCATATCACATTGAAAGACCAGTTTCTGTAATATAACCGAAGTTAAGCAACACTGAACCTGATCAGTGTCAAGATGGGTGACCGCTTGGGAATACAAGGTGCTGTAAGCTTGGATGTGCGGGTGGTGCAATGGAAAACTGGCTCGGAATCGTTAATCGCAGGGCTGAGCTCCAGTTCTAGTTCGGTCCGTTATACTTAGCCGCAAATACTGTTGGGAGTGGTATTAATCCATCTCTTCTCTCCCCAGCTAAGGGTTAAATATTAGAAAGTATATCACTAAACTATCATTATTTCACTCAAAATTCTTAGAATCTAAAAATATTTTCTGGGTTTAAATAACCTGCAAAGGGTTGATAAGCCGTAAAAAGAAAAACGATTCAATCAATCATAGAACATGTGGAAGTATAGAGGTGCAAGAGGAAGCTCTGGCTAATATACCTAACAAGACTGTGTAAATGATTGGCAGGACAGTTTGGGAGGGGTAATAAAAAGACCTACATTGTTAAGAGTTACAAAGGATAGGAAGTTGCGGAGAGCCATAATCGGGTCATAATGGAAAGATATTAATCCACCTATTCTTCCCCACAAGCTATGGTTTAATTTGTAAAACTTGTATCGCTAAGCCATTATTCCCTCCGAAAAACATTCTTACAATCTAAAAAATATTTCCTGGGTTTAAATAACCTACAAAGGGTTGATAAGCCGTAAAAAAAAATGATTCAATCAATCATAGAACATGTGGAAGTATAGAGGAACAGGAGGAACCTGTGGCTCATTTACCTAACAAGATTGTGTAAATGATTGGCAGAAGAGGTTGGAAAGGGTAATAAAAAGACCTATTTCATTAAGAGTTACAAATCATGGGAAGTTGCGGAGAGCCATAATCGAGCGATAAAGCGAAAGTTATTAATCCACCTTCACTCACCCAGCTATGGGTTAATTAATAAGACTCGTATCGCTAAAACATCATTGTGCCCGGAAAAAAATCTTACAATGTAAAAATATTTTCTGGCGTTAAATAACCTCCAAAGGGTTGATAAGCTGTAAAAAACGAATCATTCTAAAATCATTTAGAGCTTAGACGATCATGGCTCTCCATAATTTTTTTTCTGTATTATCTTCTTGGTAAAGGGATTTCCCGTTGAATTTTCCACGTTTTAGAATTCAGTTTAACCTTTCACCTAGAATGGTGACCTTTCAAGAATAGAACTCAGCTTGTGGAATTTATAATCCGCACTGGTTGGTGTGAGGGGTGTTTGTTTTATTGATAGATTTATGCATTTTTCAAAAGAGCACTTGTTCGAAAGTGAACGCAGCAAGTGAGGCTGAGAATTGAACTCGATTCGCCAAGACAATTTTCCGAATACCTTTAGACTAAAAACGCACAGCAACAAGTTTGCTTTTAAAGCTCTAAAAATATATTTCTTCATTTACCGAGTTCAAAGTCACAACGTCACGAATTGCTTCCAATACGAGGTCACCCCATTTTCACATTGGTACTTAAATTCGGTTATCAGACAGACAGACAACAATGAGAATCCGTTTCCTCTTTCGTCTCTTTGCAATAGTCATTCTACCATCTTGCTAAAGCAATACTTCCTACTGCTACCTTCTTTAAAATAAATAATATATATATATGTGTGTGTGCGCGCGTGCGTATGTATAAATGTTTGTATGTGTATATATATATATATATATATATATATATATGGTTGGATAGATGTGAGTTTGTGACCCTGGGTTTCACGCTTTGGTGATCGTCAGACAAACATGACACTATGTTAGCTCTATCTCTGATATTGAGCGCTTTCTAATAAGTACCGTGCATATAATATATAAATAATCATACATATATATATTTATTTATATTTATATACACTTTTCATATATATATATATATATATATATATATATATATATATATGTAAATTATAAATATAGGTAACTATACTCTTTTCGAAAAACCTTCGAATTTTTTATTTGCCATTAATCAAATCAATCCCGAAGGAAAAGTTGAAGCTGATTTTCTTTTTCTTTGGTCACGTGGTATGATTTTGATAATCGACTATAAATAAGCTGTTTCTCTTTTGCCTCTTTAGCCAGCTTTCCCTGACGATCCGCTTAGGTGAAACCTGGGTAGGTTTCTCTGGCTCACTAGGTTTATCTATATATATATATATATATATATATATATATATATATATATATATATATATATATATATATATATATATTTATGGTTTCTGATTATATTTATTTTTGGTTGTAATTTATTTAAGAAAGTGCTATGTTCTTCAATTAAACAGGATACGTTACATTTACCGGTCTGAAATGTCGAAAAATTTCGTAGAAAATATGCCCTCTCCGATAGGAATCGAACCTGTAACCCTAATTAGAACAGTCATTTAACCTGACGTGCTGTTAAACATTCAGCCAGAGATGCGTGTGGTGAACAAAATTCGAATTACTGTTTATAAACATACAATCTTCGACGATTTTTATACGTTTTTATACGTTACTTATAAATAACGTATAAACAGAAAATTTATTAAATAATTGTCGAACTTAATCCATTTCATAATATATTGTCATTGTTTACTTTAAGATACGTTTCGTGAGCGGATATGATAAATCGAGAAAAATCGTCGAAGGTGTGTGTTCATAAAAAATTAATTCATACTTTGCTAACCAGACGGCAGAATGGTTAACAGCACGTCAGG